ATCAATGTTGAGGACTGGCAGAGCTATTTATTTTTGGGAATTGTTTATCGCTATAGCTTAGCCTAGTGGAGTGGAGGTGACCCTGAGACATGGCCAGCCAGAAGTTTAGACCCAGCAAGCTTGTCGTTGGCAAACACTCTCCTGATAGCTTGCCACTTTCAGCAGCATCTGGTCGTCTTTCACTAATATAGGGACCATGTGTTCCAATGTAGCAATGAAAAACAGGTACAAAGATAATTGCTAGTCATCATACTCTTCGTCAGTTTTTCATCTTATCCGGCTGTCCTAGAAAAAAAGAAATTATAAATGCATTTTGAAATACACTCGAATATGGTTAGGGACACAGCGTGGTAAAAAAGAAAACTGGTATACGCACGTGTAGGTAACATGTGATGGAATAAACATATTGCACAATGCTTATTTTGGACAACTTTTGGGAAAAAATACACTCACATGAGCATATTGGAGGGAAAACACTTTTATTACAGTCTGTTTTACACAACAACAGAAATAAACGAGAGTGAACAGATATTGTGCAGTATCCTACTCGCATTGGTCCTTTAAGTGTTCTGAAACCCTTACACTTCTTTCAGAGTGCATTGCTTTTAACCGGCTGTCAGGTTCCAGAAAAGTTTCTTTGTTATTGTCAATTATCTAGCGGGCTATTGTGATTGTGAGACTCATGCCGTTCAAGTGTACAGGGGAAAACTCAAAGTTTTTAGGGGTACTTTCCAAATACGCGACTTCCTGACAGTCAATGCTGACGTTATTGTTAGTTCCGTTCCCACTGATAATACAGTATTCAAGTTTGCGATGAAAGACTTTGAAGGGTCTTTCGTATGCCATTTCGAGAGGTCGACGAAATGAATCGCGATCTACAAAAAGGAGTGTACTACATCGTAGAGTAGGTTGAACGAAAACATCAGCCAGGTGGTTGCTCGAATACCTAGGCTAGGAGGACTGTGCAACACATTGAAGACTCTGCGTCGACTATGTTTCGGAACTATTGGACGATGGAGATGTCACATAGTAAAGTTGAACATACTTAAGCGTTTGAATGTGGTCATTTCCAGGTAATCCAGAATGGTAGCCACTTTGCTTTTCAGAGGGAGCATACGTCGAAAAGCAATAGTTCACCAGGGAGTGTTCAGATAGTCGGTTCCGGTCTGATATTTCTGAATATTTACAGTACTGCCATATTTTTGTGGTCATTCGAAAACAAGTTCCAGATGATGCAAATGAGCAGTCATCAACAAACTGTCGTCTGCGCACGTGTGTACGGAGTTGTGACATCGAAAAACGTTGTTGATGAATCTCTCGAACGTTTGTGCAGCAGTATGGTTTAACCCGATTAACTTTCGAAAAAAAACGGTTGCATATTTTAGGGTAGCTATGAGGTCGCGGGTTTGTGGCAGAGGTTAACGGTTGGCAGTGGTTTTTTTTGTATTCGGCCGTTGATAACCATCATTTAGACAACAATCCGTGCTGTCTTTTGTAGAGACCAGATGTAAAGGAGCTGCTCAGGGATCTTTCGATAGCTGAATATTTCCAAAGTCTACCATATGCTCAAACAGGTTTTTGACTAATCCCAAGTTTTCATGGGCTAATCGGATCGCTCTCGAAAATACATGTGGTCCTGTAGCCACGATGGGGTGCGTAACATTCCTGGCTACACACAGCAGTTTCGGTCTCGTTTTGTAAAATCCAGAGTATCTGTTGGATATCTGTTGGAAATATGGATCATTCATATGTTTAGCCGTGACCGGGCATATCCTTTAACCAGAAAATAAAGTTCTACAAACAGATTATTTGGTATTTCCGTCCACTTACCTCCATTTGATCGGGTTAATGAATTGGTCATAATGTTGCAGCAGGTCTTTACCAGTTGCTGATATAAAAACACGTGCAACAACAAAAATCCAGGTAAAAGGGTTTACGTAAACTCACGTTAAGATAAACATATCGCTTACCGTTTGTGCTCATCGGTTTTCCACTTGCGGCCTGTAAACTGGAGACCAGTTCACCCAGACAGTCGTTAGAATCCGTAGAAAGAACTCTTATTTCTGCACCAGCGTCACTACATCAGTGATGTATAACGGACGTTTGTTTTCACTGGCTGCGGCTGACGTTAACGCGTGCCGGTAGGGGAGTTTCCCGAAAATGTTTTCGTATTGGACAGTTTAAAGATTAGGAAACTGCAGGGTTTTATGATATTTCTAGAAGACATACCATCGGTGTTGTGGTGCCAATAGTAATCAGGATCATTTGCCTCTCGTGATCTCGAGACCGATAGTTTTCTTAGCCACCTTCTTCGAGGGGTTCGGGAATGTCTGTGTTTACGATGAATATTAAGGTAACGAGTGGAAGCATTACAGAGATCTGCAATGTCATTTTGTGTCATCTGAGGCTTTTCTTTAACAGAACAATTCTCACTTCATGGAGTCTGGTAATCTCCGGAATCTGACCGTCAAGTTCAGCTAGACCGTCCACGGCCTTATTTTGGAGTGACACAAGAACTGTCTGCATCTGTTGGAGAGGCTTAAACAAGAAAAGCTGCCTCAACAGACCCTCGTCAAAAGTCTGTAGACCAATGACCTCCCTCCTTCGTGGTAACATTTCTGTCTCTGAGTCATGATAAAACTTTATATTGCGTGATAGCTGGTCTTATCTTCGTCGGTTGGTTAGGTCTCTACGTATAAGTATAGCCTTGTCGAAGTGTCATAAGGTTCGAGGACATCACTAGTAAACGTACTAGGTGTGGCATACTTGCTGGAACCGCGTAGTGGTACCTTCACTACCGTGATGTTATGTGCACGTCTGTCTGCCACGCCGTGCTCGTGGAAGTCAACTACTGAGTAGCAGAACTGGTCCTCTATGTTGTCAGGCCAGAATAGAATGAGTTGAAAGGCAGGGGGGCTAGTCTTGATCTTAAACACCTTAGGTGTCTGTTCCGTCATGATGAAGATGAGATATACAAATAGGCCAAAAAAAGTACCTGAAAATATAATAACAATATCATTTTGTAATTATGGGAATTAAAATATATATATTACCTTCCAGTAAGAATCAAGGAAGGCTATTTATATGTTGAGAAGAGTTTGATCTGTGCTGGCCAACAGGTACACATGATTGATCCGGTACGGATTCACGATAGAGTCACCTCATCTAAAATATTTCTGGTAAAACTAATGAGGTCAGCATCAATGCAAAAGACTTACAGGACCATTTATTTTGGCGATTTATTTACCATTACAAAATATTGTGGTGGAAATATGATAACTTTTCAGTACCTTTCTTCTCGTGGATTATTAACTCTGGAATCAGTTACAATCAGTGTCTACTATCAGTGTTTTTGCGGAATTAAGTTTCATTCTGTAAGTCTTCGATATTGATGCTGGTCTCATTGTTTTACTAGACACACCCTAGCTTGGGGCTCTGAGTAAAACACCCCAACACATCATGCATGAAAGACACCATGCACGCACCCCTTGCAACTGTTGAAAAGCTTAAATCAAACAATTACGATGCATCAATAGCCATCCAAATATATCTTCAAACCCCTTATCCCTGTCGTTTGGTTTGACCGGTTCGGTATACCTCGATTATAAAGGTGTTACATGTAAAGGCATTATCACACTCCAAATACCTGTGGCATCTTTACACTATATTCTCTCTGGTGGTGTCGACCTCATGGACTGACTTATTCTTTTCTGAACTTGATATATTCTAGAAAGCATACCTCAAGCTAGAGACGCAGTTGCTTCGGCTTATGTTTATATCATACTGATGTAATAAGTTGAAGACTATTTTCATACGATTTTCATTTTATTTGAATCAGAACCAGATAATTACTGGGGATTGTCTGCTACCAAGTCTTCGACCCTTAAATAACAACCACTTATCGTCCTTGTTTAATAGCCGCAGATATCGATGGGTCCTATAGACCTAAATCTTGACAACAATGGGTTATTTATTTTAAAGCTAAAAAGTTCTGACAGTATATTGTGTAACCTAGCCTTCCACACTAGGATATTTTGTACCAGGCTCTCAGAATCGATCTAACTCTATGGGCCAAAGGTATGACCTTAAGGTGTTAGATGTGTTGGCCATGGTTACAGGTCCTCGCGTCTCTGAAAGGTCTAATGGAACCGTTGCTGTCTCTTAATATGTTGCAATAAGCACCCAACGCCACAGTCCTTCAGTTATTTTCTGTTCGAAAGTTTTAATATTTGATTTGTTAGCAGCCTGATGCAAAATTGATAAGGTTTTCATTCCAGCTGGGCTTTATATTAAGAGATGATGGCAAGTCCACCAAATACTCTACACCGTCGCCCTAAACCAGGCATCAAATGAGTGCCCCTTCAACCACTATTTCTGTGTACCCCAGTATGTGGGATAGAATTATTCCTTTTTCAAACTATTAGATATTGATTCAAGTTAAGTGGATGGTCAGGCATACTTGGCTAACTTAGGAACAAATTTTTGGATAGTCCAGGCAAACTTTCTCAGAGCTCTTGAACTATCCTGGTTAGCCCTGCGGTTTTTCAGCTTATGGAGTGTTGGTTCAATCCTTTTTACAAATCCTAGTCAATATCTAAGCATCGGTCTCTGTGAGAAATGATGACTGGTTTAACTAGGACTCAGTTATATTTCATTGGCCCTACAGACTGTAAAAAAAGAACCCAATAAAAACAAGCTCCATTATTTGGATTTTTATTCAAATATGAGTTAGAGGCTTTTGAAAAATAGTAACTGATCATAAATGATACATAAATTTTATCCAACCAACTGTAGCGTTACTTCGAAGTCTATTGTTGGACGTATTTGCGCGGGATTGTATATCTGATCTCGTAGCTGTTAGGTTGGCGGTTAGCCAGCCTGTCTGATAGGTGTTTTATCTCCCTCTTTATATTCAGCCCTGGTCAGAAGTAATATGGATATACGTACCGGTTCTCAATAATTTAACCAGAATATTGCTGTATATATATGTCACGTCGGATATGTATGCCACATCCAAATTAATTATTCCACCCAAACCTGCAAGGGATACACCTTTTATTCCGAAGTTAAGGATTCGCCTGCGCCACTCACCTAGCAGTCATTGTGGTGCTCGCGACCAGGTTTACAATGTCGCACACAATGAGTCTCCACATTTAATTGGAAATTTTGGTGATCATGATTCATTTCATACAAACATTGAGTCTTTGGTGGGCGTTTGCTCTTTTTCAATGTTGAGAAATACTGCTCAAAAAGGTCCTCATCCCAACTCCTTTGCTAAGCTAAGCAAACCACGACAAAGACAGTTGTCTAGTTTTACTTCTGGATGTACTATTAGGAGAGCCACAAGCAAAAGAAAACAGTCATCTGCGTTTGTAGATACACTGGATCTGGAGAATCCTGATTCACTTTTGACGAAGGTTAATCTAAAGGTAAGTATCATTGTTTTTTAAAAATTAATACTCTACTGTCATACCGCACTCATATGTTGTTTGATTGTCCTCATTTCAATTTCTTCGTAGAGTTGATCGACAACTTTAGTATCAAGTCAACTGGCATATGATTCTCAGATGTTATTATATCAAGTTAGGTCGCGTGGCTGCTTGTGATGTCTTCATCCGAATCTCCCAATTTTGGGGAAAATTTGGTGAGACTATAGTTTATTGCCGAACTTTGGGCAACTCTGAAGTGACCATGTGGGTGGACACCTATTGATTAGGACTAAATGGAATTTATAAAGCAATTAGAATTCTCATTTTCAGTTGATGGTTAGGGTTAAAAACTAGATTTAGGGTTCTCATCACTAACTGACATCAGTTATAATGCCAAAACTCAATTTAGCCAAATATATGGGTGAATTTCGTGCCAAAACTCGTGACTCGTTATCTTATATGTGGTTGGTTCGTCAATAAATTATAGTCTCTTCGAAAGTTCTATCCGTTTTGGGGATGACCATTAGACTTTGGGGGAAGCCCTGAAATAGAGAGATTAGGATCTTGACTACGAGTTAGAGTTATTTATATGCTAAAAAGCTCCCTTAAACGCCTTTTTACTGTTGTTGGTATGAGTGCTTGTGGCAGACCTGAATATTATTGAAGGCCTAATGGGAATGATAGCCGGAAATGCGCCTCGCAGATATAAACTCATTCACTCAGTCTACATTTATCAGATGTTCACATAGGTGTTTGGATATATTCCACTCAGATATGCATGCGCACGCAGTACATGTGAGTCGCTATATCTCATTACATGCTGTGACTTCAAAGACTAAGGGAAGTTGGAGTGCCTTGTTTATCCACACTTCGTAATAATATGAAACGAAAAGCTAGGGGTAGAAATGTACCAAAACCAAGGGTATGAGCGCCAAATGGCAAATAGTTGGTACTAAGATATTCATGGTTTAGATGGAGATTAGGCATGAACTCAACTGTATCACTGACAAATTTTATAGCATACTGTGAGTTGTTTTCGATACGTAATATTCAGTGTTTCACTCAGCTGGCTTACTTATGTACAACTTTGGGAAGAATTCAGTGAACTCAGAATGATCAGTCCTTGAAATAGCTGAACAAGAGTGAATATAGTTAATAATAGTAATAAAAACCACATGGTAGTTGAAAGGTCTCTGTTTCTAAATAAATATACAACTTTAGTATTTTTCAGCTCACACTACCAAAACACTTCATTGTGTAGTGTTTAGTGCTTCTCTCGGTGAGACTATAATTTATGGATGACTTTTGAGCGATGCTAAAATGACCTTGAGAATGCCCACCTACTAACTAAGACCGTAGCCGCTACCTTGACGTGGTGGTCTGGCTTGCCTATCGTGATGACCTAATCGAGCTATATTGGCTGCAATATAGGTTCCTGTAGGTTGTACCATGTCAGTCAGGTTGATTAAATAACGGTAAGACTAGAAACAGTAACCCAAGGTCTGAGGGCGAAGTCGTACTGCTGACTGTATACGGGTGTGACAGCAGTAAGGTGTTTCCTTCGGACAACCAGCATTTGCAGCGGTGTTGTCCTCTCACAAAGAAGGAGGAGGTCAGAAAAGGTCGACCCTAAAAATATCACACCTCACCTTACCTCACAGATTTCCGTCTCCGGCGGTAAGGCCTTTTAAAGAACGGAGCTAATACCTTAAAAACTCCCTACAAAAAGGCCGTGCGTAACCGGCCTCAAGCAGTTGTCCCGTGGGCTCTGCGGTCAAGCTCTCAGGTCGTTAAGACCAACACTAATCTAACTTTCTTTTCAGGTTCCACAATAAAATACCCTCCCGCGGTGTAGGCGACCAGGAAGTGACATCCCTCATACCCGTATCAGCACACGAGAGCAAGTTGGTCACAATCAAATCCTTCCTACACCTCCTAATAACTCTTATCTCCACGACTAATCCTTCTCACGTTCCTTTATCACCTCACACTGCAGTCAGTCAGTCAGTAACAACACTGCTAATGCAGACGATTCGAGTACGCGGAACGTTATTCCCGGTCTCCTGAAACCACGCTCTAAACTAAATGTTGGAGCTTTTAACGTCCGAACACTGTGCCAAATAGGACAACAGGCTTCCTTAGCTAGGACTTTAGTATCTCGCACCATCGATGTATTTTGCGTCTCCGAAACGCGCATACAGGATCCGAGTAGCGTCATTCATTTGACCTCATCATATCAAAATAACGAACCAACTCGATTCACGCTTCCTGTATCTGGAAGCCCTGATTCTGCTTCCCGTGGCCTCGCTGATGTAGGTATAACATTGAGTCCTAGGGCAAAACTAGCTCTCTTAGAATGGATCCTAGTAGACAGTCGCTTGTGCGCTGTCCAACTAAACGGAACGGTAAGGACTCGGGAAGATAGGTACACTCTTCGTCGTCTCTGCATACTCTCCCATTGACTGCAGCTCAGATGAGGTAAAAGATGAGTTATGCAGAAAGCTTTTTGACCTCCAAAAAGTTAGGCTCTTTGATGTAGCAATAGTGGCTGGTGACTTTAATGCTCAAGTAGGTAAACTAAGCGAAAAGGAAAGACACCTAGGTGGATTTTATGGTGTCGTGGTTCAAAGAACAAATAATGACGATCGTCTGTTGCAGCTATTTTCAGATAACCACCTGTTTCTAGCAAACACTATATTTAAGCATAAGGAAAAACATCTTTTGACATGGCAACCCCCGAACTCATCCCAATGTTGGACCCAACTATATCACATCGCCATCAGCCACGAATGGAGGGGCTCAATAGAAGACTGTCGCTCGTTCTGGAGCACATGCTTAGATTCAGATCATTCTTTAGTGCGAGCGCGTATTTGTCTGCGTCTTACTGGACGTAGGAAAGACGCTACAAGGAAACCTCTTAGGGTTCTACCTAATGATTGCCAAGCTAAGAATATATTTCAGAAACAACTAGAAAAAGTTAGGCAGCCATGTAAATGATGCCCACCCCAAAGCAGCTTGGGATTATATCCGAAAAGCTGTGAAAACAGCAGTGATATCTACTAGTAAGGTTAACCATATTTATTATTTATTTATCTCTTCGAAGTATTGGTACAAAGGGGCATCAGATATATATGCGCCACACAATATTAATTAGAATGTGGGGATATAAAGAATGTAAGGTGCGTATAAAAAAAATACAACACTGAACAGAAATTATTGTATGATAGTGAAATAACAATAATGCAAGGGCCAGTTCAAATAGCAAAAGTACAGTCACAGACAATTCTTCCACTTAAGGAGGTTACGTCTTTCTTTTTATGAAGAAAGTAAAATAAAGTTACAGCAGGATCTCCATTGGCTTCTATTCTGAGCCATATCTGATAACGTCTCTAGCCACTGTGTTCCATTATCTCTCAGACCCCAACCAGGGAGTCGTGAAGAACCAACAGAAGCCAGCCCTTTGCAGCTTTCTTTCATACCACAACACAATGTCATACATTGACCACCTCTCCGCTTTTCCCAACCAGTCCCAGCGTTGGCAAATAATGCACGACGTGGAATTCTCTGGGACGACATTCGTAGAACATGTCCAAGCCACCGAAGTCGATGTTTCAAGATAGTGACACCAATTGAATTATCGTCTCTGTGCGCGAACACACGATGCTGAACCTCTGCAGTACTAACATGGTGTTGCCACTGGATGTCAGAAATCTTTCGGAGACAACGATGATCAAACACAAACAGTCATCTAACATCCTCAACTCGGAGAGGCCAGGTTTCACAAGCATAGGGCAGAACTGCTCTCACCGACGCGTTGTAGATCCGACCGTTTACAGCCAGGCTGACATCATGAAGGCACCGAAGTCGGCGAAAATTGGCATAAGCCTCTCTGGCTTTCACCATACGTGCATTGATCTCATCACTCACGCCACCACCAGCACTTATGCAGCTACCCAGATACACGAACTTCTCGACTACTTCTATCTGCTCACTGCCCAGAGTGAGTGCAGAATCAGGGTCCTGGCAGTCTTGTAAAAGTACTTTGCACTTCGAAGGTGAGAAGCACATACCATACCTACAGACATTAATTGCTAACTGTTTAAGTGTGGATTGTATGGCTTGGGTATTATCGTGCGGTAAGACAATATCATCCGCATACTCAAGGTCGAGAATTCTTTCTTCAGGGAACAGATCCACATCGCCATTACTTACATCCATCAGAGCTGTTTCTAGAACGTCGTCGATAGCAAACTTGTAGAGGAATGGTGAGATTGGGCAACCCTGTCTAACCCCACTGCTTGGATGGAACAATGGAGAAAGGTGGTTGTATGCGCTCACTCTACCTGAGGTGTTTGGATATAGGGCTTTTAAGATGTTAATAAACTTCTCAGGCATACTCTTTTTCAATAGACAATCCAAGAGAACAGTCCCGTCCAACGAATCGGAGGCGGCCCTGATGTCAAGAAACACTACGATTGCTCCTGGAACTACTCTGCCCATCGTACAAGACGTCGTTTGATGTTAGTGATTAACATCCCTTCATCCTCATAAATTGTTTCGCTCACACCAGACTTCTTGCTGCCAGTGTCTTGGATGAGTTGAAAGAGCTTCCGGCAGTTACCAGATGCAGCTGTTGCTTCAAACTCATTGGAACGCTCCGACCACCAGACTTCTCGGTCCTGACACAAGCTTTTCCCAATTTCATTACGTAACAGTCGTCGTTTGTAGTCAAACTCACGGTCACCCAGAGTAGACCGACGGGCTTCAGTGAATTGTAAGGAGCCAGGAGAAACCCAGTGCTTACAAGCGGGACGTTGCGCGAAGCCGCAAGCGACTTTACTCGCCATTTTCATGGCGTCATGCAATTGCAGCCAATGTTCATCTATACGTTTTGGTGGATTGCTAGCTAGCCTAGAAGGTAGCTCGATTTGACATTTAGTTGCAACCAATTTGCTGACATCGATCCGTTTAGGACGATGAATTTGTTGACCACTGAAAAG